TGGCTGGTGCTATGGTTTAGCGGGTAAAGCTGCTGCCTGTAGTGCCGGCATCACATATGGGTGCCTGTTCAAGTCCCGGCTGCTCCACTTCCAATCGAGCTCTCTGCTATGGCCTACGAAGGCAGTAGAAGATGGCCCAGGTCCTTGGGCCCCTGAACCCACATGAGAGACCCTGAGGAAACTCCTGGCTCCTGGCTTTGGATCAGCACAGCTCCAACCATTGCCACCAATTTGGGAGTGAACCAATGTATGGAATACCCCCCTCCCCGTGCCTCTCCTTCTCTCTGTGTGTACCTCTGACTTTCAAATAAATAAATAAATAAATCTTCAAAAAAAGTGAACAGGATTACAGAGTAAGAGGAACAAAGCAGGGAAGGAGAGTGGTCCAAGTAAGAAATCATGGTCAAGCTAGGAGATGACTTCAAGGAGTCCTATAAATTGCATTTCAAAGCCATGGTGAAAATATGTGGAGAAAGGAGAAAGAATCCACTCACTGGGTCCACTTTTGGGGCCATTGGGAGTGTTGTTTTGGCATCAGCAACACCAGATGGAGTGCATAATCATGGGATTTTGGGTGATTATTAACACGTTAGGTAACACATTAGGTAGCATATATGGTACTTCAAAACATTCATGGAGGCTCCATCTTCATGAAGCAGTGAGTTAAGCCACCACCTGTGACACTGGCATACTATATGAGCACTGGTTTGAGTCCCAGCTGGTTTACTTCCAAACCAACTTTCTGCTAATGTGCCTCAGAAAGCAGTAGATTATGGCTCCTGCCACCTATGTGAGATACCTGGATGGAGTTCCAGGCTCCTGGCTTCAGCCTGGCCCAGACTCAGCCATTGCAACCATTTGGGTAGTGAACCAAAGAATGGAAGACATCTCTGTCTTTCTCTCTCCCTCTCTAACCCAGTCTTTCAAATATTTAAAAAAAAAAGCTCATGGAAAATGGAATGAAAAGATAAATTTATTTTTGGTACCAAAATTTTAAAAATGCAGTTTTTTCATAATACACATTTTCTGCAAACATTTCAAAGTATCCTTGTGTAAAATGTCTGCCAGAACCCAATTCACAGTGGGATAAGGGAAGGATAAGGCCAAAGTGATTTATTTGATATGTGTGAATAGTCATGTGTTCATTTGCATTTATTTTACTGATGATTCCATATACTTCTTCATTTGAGAAGTGAGTGTCTTTACTACTAGACAAAGTGCTTACATCCTAACTAAATTTTTCCTCTGAGATTGGTTGATTTTGCAAACATGAAAGGCTGATTGTATCCTGAAAACTGATTGCACTTCTTTTTCTTTTTCTAATGTGGTCATTGGAAAAATTTTAATTACATATGTGGTTCACATTGTGCCAGTCTTGGACAACATTGATGTAAACCAGGGCGGAGGAGGGGCAAACTACCACCAGCACCCAAATCTTTGCCCTTGTGCCTTATTGAAATGAAATAGTGGGTATATTCTCTTTCAAGTTTAAATAGTCTGAAATTCTATTCCTGTTGCTGGAGTTTTCAGTTCGTTTATATTGGATTAAAAAAGTAGAAAAAGTCGTGAGCATTTGGCACAGTGGTAAAGACAGTGGGATGCCTGCATCCCATATAGGAGTGCTAGAATTTGAGGCATGACAGCATTTCTGAGCCAGTGTCCTGCTAATGTACACCTTCAGAGGCAGTAAATGATGACTCAAGTCCTTGGGCCTTTGCCATCCATGGGAGATCCAGATAGGATTCCAGACTCTTGGTTTCAGCCTGACCCAGTCCTGGCTGTTGGAAGCATTTGAGAAGTAAACCATTGGTTGGAAGATCTCTCTCTCCCTCTCTTCCTCTCTCTCTCTCAAATTAAAATAAATGAGAGTAAAATATACAAAAGAAAATATGCCGTGGTTCTGCTTGTGGGCTGATCATGCATACCCATTATCTTTGCTTCACAAGAACACATTTAAGATCCGGTTCTCCCACCACCCCCGCCGAGAGTCCCAGCAGCTCGGCCGCGGGAGGAGTGGCAGCGGCCAGGCAGCTCAGCTCCACGAAGGCTCTTGGTACACCGCGGCCTGCAGGCACCAGGCACGTGCCCTCCGCGCCGCCAGGATGCCCAAGAGGAAGGTCAGCTCTGCCGAGGGGTGGCCAAGAAGGAGCCCAAGAGGAGGTCAGCGCACTTGTCGGCAAAGCCAGCCCCTGCAAAGGTGGAAGCAAAGCTTCCTGCTTATGAGTATAGTGCAGGCCCTGTCTGACCTGGGTCTGGAAGTCTCTGCCTTTCTCGTATAACAAATCTGCTTTGTGAGCTGGAGCAGTCTTGGTCACCACCAATGTCTGTGTCTCCTTTATGGCTGGTCTGACTATATTATTTCCAGAAATTTGTCTTCTAGTTCTGAAATTCTTTATCTGTTTCACCTATTCTATTGTTAAGGCTTTCCACTGCATTTTTTATTTGACCTATTTAATTCTTCATTTCTAGTATTTCATTTTGACTTCTGTTTAATATCTCAATTTCTTAGGATTGCTTTTCATTTAAATTGTGAATTTGTTTCTGATTGCTTCTAAGTAATCTGATGATTAATTTTCTGAATTCCTTTTTATGGTATATTCTCAATCTCTTCATCAGCTTATATTATTAAAGAGTTGTAGTGTTCCTTTGGGGGGCTCATAGTGTCTTCCTTATGCTTATTTAGGGTTTTTTGCTTTTTTTTGGCATTTCTGGTTGCTTTACTCTTTGTGTCTGTGCTTGTGGTGAGATTTCCCTCTGCTGTAAGCTGCTATGTGTCTGTGCATTGCAAGTAGAATCGCACAGCCCACCTCCTCGAGTCCTGCTCACATCTCGACTGTGATGGGGGTGGGCACGAGAGCTCTGGTTCAGTAAGCCCTGCCTATTGGGGCTGAGCTTGCTTCTCACTGGTGTGTGAAATGAGTTCCAGTTTTCAATATTGAGGACTTCTCTTTGTTGCACACCTTGTATGATGGGGAAGAAATTACTCTGAAATGTTGTGATTCTTATTCCTGGGTGGAGAGTGTCGTGAGGTGGCCCCCGCAATTGATGGATGTGTGCATGGGAAATAAATGCAGTAGCCCCCTGCTTACATTCAAAAATGTAAACAATATGAATTCTCCCAGCCAGCTGCAGGTCTGGTTGAGGGGAGGGGGAAGACATAGATGGACAGGGGCATCCCCAACCTCTCTATTTGTCCCCCTATACCTTCTCTTTCTCCCTGTGTGGAACTTGAAAAGCAGTTCACCAGGCTCCCCCGCCTCCTGCTATCCACAGCTCCATGGACTCACGATTTTCCATCTCACCTGGTCTTCTGGGAGGGTGACACCAATCTCCCTGTCTGGCGTCTCTGCTGTGCCTCTGCCACTTCCACTTCATTTTTGCTTGCTCTGCATGGACCTACCCAGTCTCTGTTGGACTCCTGGTCTTCTCTGCATGAATTTCTCATGGCTCTGTCACCAGCTTGTTTCCCCTCTCCTTATTAACTATCTATTTTGCCCCGTGTGACTCGGAATGTCCTGTTGTTATAGCACCATCCAACACTGGCTTCTTACGAGTGTTAGTCTCAGGGTGATAAACTGTCCCAGGGCCAGTGCTGTGGCACAGCAGGTTAAAGCCCTGGTCTGAGGCACCCACCGGCATCACATATGGGCACCGGTTCTAGTCCCGGCTGCTCCTCTTCCAGTCCAGCACTCTGCTATGGCCTGGGAAGGCAGTGGAGGATGGCCCAAGTCCTTGGGCCCTTGCACCCACGTGGGAGACCTGGAGGAGTCTCCTGGTTCCCAGCTTCAGATCAGTGCAGCTCCACTGTTGTGGCCATCTGGGGAGTGAACCAGTGGATGGAAGACCTCTCTCTCTCTCTCTCTCTCTCTCTGCGTCTCTCTGTAACTCTTTCAAATAAATAACATAAATCTTTAAAAAAAATATTGTTCCTTTACCAGGTTTCCCTCTGATGCCCATACTCAAAAACCTCTTATGTTTCTCCATTCTTTTCCTGGAAATTCCCGTCTCATACTTTAACAATACATAGTATCATTTTGTGTTAAGCCCCTACTATTTAGGACATGATTGTGCATGTGCAAGGGAACAGAGGACTGGGTGGAATGCAACCAGAGCACGTGCAAAAGGAAAATGTAGCTGGCAGAACCAAAGAAACTAGAGCTCCACCAGAACGCTAGAGCCCTTTCAGAAGTGAGAGGTCAGCTGAACACGGAAATTTGAAATTAAAAGTCCATTTTACCATATTGACCTGATTCTAACCCCATCACCAACTCCTGCCCCAGTATGAACTTTCCTCTCTGGGTGTTTTTGCATAACAGCTTTCTCCTACGTAATCCATAAAGCTTTCCCCAAGACCTCTGATGGGGGAGGTATATTTTAATCCTGTTCTCCTACCTTCTCCTAGTCAGTAACAAAACCTCTCACTTCTCAAAAGACCTGGTATCACAGACTATGCTTGGACACAACTGGCAATAGACCTACCTCACTTGTTTCATAACAAGGGTACTTCAACACCTCTTGAACTCCATTCTTTATACATTTCAGCAAGTGGTTCCTTAATTAAATACCATTGGGTTATCCTTCTCAAGTACCCTTTTGGCCAAGACCCTAATTGGAACATTGGTAATGGGTAATGGAAGAAACTTTAACTTACTATATACCATTTTCCTGTATATAGGATATTTATACAACTTAAATTGAGCAATAAACATATTAGTTATGGTAACTTCGAAATAAATATTATGTTGTTGAAAATATTTCTGATATTGAAAACTTGAGACTTAATGGGTTAAGGCAGTATGAGGGGGTGAATAAACTGCTGGGAATAGGGAGAAAAATAGAAAGTTTTTAAGGCTTTTTGCTCCATGCTGGGCATGTAACACCACTTCTTTATGTAAATAACTCTAATAAACTCTTAAATTCTTCTTAATTATTTCTGTTTGGTTGCTGTCTCTGCATGCAGAGAAAATAGGTAGGACAGGACAGTGAAGTATCTGAGATTTACATGACTAGGTATGACTATTAAGAGTTATCTGGAATTGATTATATTATGATAAGACATTTTTCTGATGGAAAGGGAACATCCCAACCCAATGTACCTGCTAAGCTTCAAACAAAATTCAGTGACTCACCATGTTGTGGAATTGGTGTTTATTCTCAGATAGAACATTTTTTATTTTTAATATTTACTTTTATTTTGAATCAGAAATTTAGGAAAGTACAACCATTCTTTCAGGAACCAATAATTCAGTTCAGGTTGTTTCTTTATGTATGTGGAACTCCAAAAGTGGACGTAAATCAAATAAATGTTGTTTGTCAATCTGTGTAACAATTTATATAGCTAAGAGTTCAGATATCAATGAGAATTCTCTTTGTTATCAGAATCTCTTACTTCCTGGCGACAAATAGGACAGGTAGTGTTTTCAGACAGCCAACGATCAATGCAGTGGGCATGATATTCGTGGAAGCAGGGTAGTACTCGAATCGTGTTGCCTTTTGTAAATTTTGTAATGCAAATGATACAGGATTTCGATGTATCATCCTTGCAAGAAGATGTTACTGTTAAGTTGTTAATCTGCTGTTTAGTAAGTCCTGTAGATTGGTCACGATTATCTTCATGATCATCTTCATGTACGAGGAAATGCTGAAATACATCAGGGAAGGACAAAGAGTCACTTTCATCAGATGCTGCTAAGTTTCTAAGTAGATTTTCTTGATTGGTCATTGATGATGAATCTGATGATGAGTTTTCTTCATTACTGCCTTCAAACAGCACTGAACTACTTTCTGAGTTTTCGGTACTGGAACTTCGAGTTCCAGTACTTTCAGAATTGGAACTAGATATAAGACTGGAGAAAGAACTAGACAGATAGGGAGGGCTTGAACTGTAATATAGCATTAAACTTGAACATGAATCAAAGCTTGAATTAGAATCACAACTGCTACCATCCTCAGAATCACTGCTTCCAGTCTGTGACCATCCCATTTCCGTGTTTTGACTTGATGAGACACTAGGCTCAAAGTCGCTATCACTGGGCAAAAAATTACTCAACTCACCAAATTCCGTCTCTAACTGCCTAAATCTTCTTGGAGCTGTAACAAATGCTGTATCATTTAAACTATTAGTTAAAGCTCTATGGAAAGGAATTATAGTACTGGAAGAAGGTCTCACTCTTCCATGCTCAGAACATGAACACATATTTTTGACTCTTCCTTGGTCACTTTCAGTGACAGTGTTGTTTGGTATCTCAGATGTTAACCGAGTTCTGCTATCTATGCCATCTCTTGCTGAAAATTCTTCAGGATGAAGTCTTCTTGCTTCATGATCAAAAAGTGTGGTTGGACTGTTTGATCTCAATCCTCCAACCTCATCATTGCCTATTGTGTCTGCAGACCATTCTCCTTGAGAGGCACTTCTTGTTCCAGAAGCTGCAAAACGATGGCTACTTTGCAAATTAGGTCTAGTTAATTGTTGCCTCAACAGCTCACGTTGATGAAATCTTGCAAATACCTCAAACTCATTCATCACAGGCAGTTCAAAAATTTCAGGTGCTATATTATGATGTAATCTTAGTAAAAGTTCATTGTACCTATGGTCAGGTGACTGAGTTTCAACTCTGGCTCTTGTCCTCTGACAGTCAGGGCTCCTGCTTCTTGCTCTTCTTTGACTTCTGTTAGATAGGACTTCTGTTAATTTATCAGTTGCACTTTGTTGTGATCTAGATGGGCTTGCAAATCTTAGCTCAGATGGTGGGCTTTCCATTTGCCTTTGACTATTTTCTGTATTTTGCCCCCTTGGAAGTCTTTCAAATGGTGCATATTCATTATCTGGATTTGGGCTCCCATTATTAACGTTGAAATTCATCCCTACACTGCAATTGAAATCACTACTGCTTGTATTACTCTGATTTTCTGTTGTCCAAAATTGATTTTCTCCTTGACAGCTCTCTGCCATATTTTCAGTTTGTTCACAACAGGAAAGCCATTTTGATATAGACTCACGACTAGAAACTTCATCCAAAGAGTTTTCTCTACCTGTTACCAAAAGAGCGGAGGAATAATAAAAGAACTACCAAACTGAACCATCATAAAATAGTGCCCTGGAACTTTGTTTCAAAGATAGCAAAAAAATGAGAACTTACAGATTCAGATATTTTAAGCAGATTTTGCATTTATAGAGTTAATATTTCTGTAAACTAAACAATTCAAATTTAAAATAAAGGCAGGACAATTTCAATTCCACCTGGAAAGAGTGATATAACACTAAATAAATTTAAGAAATTGTTTCTATAAAAGTAATCTGGAAGAAATCTATTTTCAGTATTTCATCATATATGCAGATTCACATATCACTGAGGAAGACATGTCAAATGACACATTTTGCCTGGGTTTAAGTCTTGGCTCCAATTCTGATCCAGCTTCCTGCTAATCTGCAACCTGGGAGGCAGCAGATGATGGATTAAGTCCTTGGGTACTTGCTACCTATGTGGCAGACCTAGATTGAATTCTATGCTCCCAGCTTCATTCTGGCTTAGCCTTGGCTGTTTTGATCACTTATGGAGTAAACCAGAAGACAGAAGATCTCTCTGTGTCTGCCTCTGTCTCTCTTTTAAATAAGTAAAATATATAAAAGCAAAAATTCTAAAATGACGATTTTCAATCCAATGTGAATATTAAGTTACTAATAAAATCAAGGTAAACACCAATTATAAGATTCAGTGTTAGTATTTTAGCTCAAATTATATTATTGCCCAGTTTTTATTAGTCTATAACATTGCTTATTCTAGGCTCTGGACTGATGGGCTTTTAATAAAGCAAGAGAACTTCAAAAAGTTCATGGAAATATACATTATCCTTTAATATATCTTTTAATTCAACTTTTCCAATGAACATTTAGGCATCCTTATACATGTTTTTTTTAAAATATGACTATTTAAATTCATAAACAATTTATTCATTTGCGTGTGGTGGGAGAGGGAAAGGGAGAGGAAGAGGGAGAGGGAGAGGGAGAAAGGGAGAGAGAGAGAGAGAGAGAGAGAGAGACTCCTATCCTCTGGTTTACTCCTCAAATGCATGCAATGGTGGGGTGGAATGGCTGAAATTGGGACCTGGGAACTCAATCCAGGTCTCCCATGTGGATGGCAAGAACATAATTACTTGAGGCATAAAGACTGCCTCTCAGGCTCTTCATTAACAGGAAGCTGGAAGCTGGAGCCAGAGGTGAACATCAAGGACAGGCATTCGGATATGGGATGCAAGTGTCCCAACCTGTGGCTTAGCTGATAGTCCAATTTTGCCCATTTCTGAAATATAAGACTATTGAATTATTACCAAAGTACAAGCAAAGTCTAGAGACTTAAAATAATTTAAATACTATTTAAAGTTATCAAGATTTTAAATTGATGTGAAATTGAAGATGAGAACAAATGAATAAGCTAAATTTAGTGTAGTACATATAAGGGGCCATATTTAAGAACAAAACTGTTGGGATCAGTTCCAAGATGGCAGAGTAGGGAGAGAGCTTACTGCTCTAGCCCAAAAGAAGATAGTTTAAAAACAGTGGAGATGCTGTAATGTCAGGGAAGAGTTAGGGAAAAAACGGTAGAGGAAATCCTACCAAAATTAGAGGGACATGGTGGACCTATGTGGAGGGTGTGGGTGCCCATGGCTTGGGACTCCAACAGCTGAGAGCCTATACACAAGTACTATAAAGTGAGGTGAGAGCAGACAAGAGTAGCCAGAGCCACTGGTGAAAAAGTGGCAGGAAGAGAGAATGAAGCTTGAAGCCCCACTGGGGAAAGTGTACCAGCCAAATTAGAGAAGAGAAAAAAATTTAAAAAGACGATACAGACAGTTGTCTCCCAGATCACCTCACAAAAGCATACAAGCCAATAGGGCCAGCACCAGCTCGTGTCTGTGCCCAGCGATCAGCTGAATGAAGACTCCTGACACTGGTGGAGAGAAGTAACAGGGCGCTATGAGCTTGTGACTCTGTGAAGCTTCTGAACCGAAACTGTGGAAAAAAAAAAAAAAACCTGAGAGTGTGTGGGAGAACTCATAGTGTGGCTGGGGCTTTGAGCAGTCTCAGTGGGAGATGCCACAAGCTTGGGGGTTCCCAGTTACCTGGTGAGAGACACTGCTGAGGAATCTGAATTTACACTAAGGACTACACAGAGCCTTTGGTCCTTGGAACAGAGCAGACGAATATTATACTCAGTGGGGCTAGTGCTCAGGCACTGGTCTCCACCAAGGAGAAGATCCCAGCTGAGCAGAATATGCTTCCCTACTGATTAAAAAAAAAGAGAGGATTTACCACGGCAAACCTGGGTGTCTCCATTCACCTTAGGCACACCCTTACACTGGAGAACTGAACAGAGCTCTCTCACCACACCCACTACAAACCTCTAGAGATTCACTGAAAGAAGACAGTCCACTAATTTACAGAGTCACAGTACAATGATAAAAGCTACCACAGTGGGAAAAAAAAGAAACCAACGAGTATCTCCAAAAATGCTGAAAAACGAATGCAACAATCCAAGAAACAAAAATAAGAAAGACAACATGATGCTCTCAAAAGAACATGACACTTAAGTGCTAGATTATGAAGATGATGAGATAGAAAAATGCAAGAAATGGAATTCAGAAAATTGATCATAAGATTACATAGATCAAAAGCAAACACATGAACTACTACTGAAATCATGCAGGACATGAAAGAAAATCTCTCCCATGAAATTGAAATCTTAAGTAGGAATCAAAATGAAATGAAGAATTCAATAGAACATGAAATTGAGATATTATAGAGAAATCAAAATGAAATGAAAAATTCAACAAAAGAAATAAAAAATGCAGTGGAGAGGCTTAAAAAGAAAATCAGTGAGGTAGAAGAGAGAATATTGGACTTAGAAGACAGAGCACAGGAAATTATACAGTCAAACCAAAGACAAGAAGAGGAAATTAGAAATCTAAAAACAATAATGGAAACCTACAGGAGACTATTAAAAAAAAACCAACATTCAGGTTCTAGGAGTTCCTGAAGGCATGGATAGAGAGAAAGGATTGGAAGGCATTTTTAGTGAAATACTAGCAGAAAACTTCCCAGGTTTGGAGATGTCCAAGTACAGGAAGCACACAGAACTCACAGTAGATATACCAGAAAAGATCCTTGCCACGACACATTGTAACCAAACTCATCACAGTGAAAAATAAAGAAAATATTTTAAAATGTGCAAGAGAGAAGTGTCAGATTACTTTCAGAGGATCTCCAATTAGACTCACAGCAGACTTTTCATCAGAAACCCTGCAGGTCAGGAGAGAATGGCAAGATACAACCATAACACTAAGAGAAAGAGCTGTCATCTCAGAATATTATACCCTGCAAACCTCTCATTTGTGATGAAGGTGAATTAAAGACCTTTCATAACAAACAAAAAATTTAGATAATTTGTCATTACTCATCCAGACATGCAAAAGATGCTTAAAGATGTGTTACACACAGAAACACAAAAACATAGTCATCATTACGAAAGAAGGTAAAGGAAGAAAATCTCTCAGTAAAAGATCAAAGGAAGTTCAAAGTATAAAGTAGGAATATTTTTGGAAAATTGGCAGGACAAATTCATTACTTATCAATACTCACATAAAATGTAAATAGTCTCAACTTTCCAGTTAAAAGGCACAGATTGACTGAATGAAATAAAAAACAAAACCCATCTATTTGCTGTTTACAAGAAACACATCTTTCCAACAAAGCTGCGTGTAGACTGAAAGTGAAAGGTTGGAAAAAGATATTCCATGCCAAAAGAAACCAAAGAAGAGCTGGCATAGCCATCTTAATATCAGACGAAATAGATTTTAACACAAAAAAATGTTAAAAGAGACAAAGAAGAGCACTATATAATGATTAAGGGATCAATTCAACAGAGAGATGTAACTATTAAAAACATATATGAACCTAATTACAGGGCACCAGGTTATTTAAAAGATATGTTAGGGACTTAAAGGGAGACTTAAACTCCAATACAACAGTATTGAGGGATTTCAGTACTCCACTTTCAGCAATGGACATATCAACCAGACAGAAAGTTGAAAAGGAAACAGTAGATTTATTGACACCATAGACCAAATAGACATAGCAGATATCTACAAAAATTTTCATCCTACAGTTGCAGAATAAACATTCTTCTCAACAGTGCATGGAACTTTCCCTAGAATTGACCACATACTAGGCCATAAAGAAAGTCTCAGCAAATTTAAAAAAATCAAAATCATACCACGCGTCTCCATGGACCAGAATGGAATGAAGCTGGAAATCAGCAACTCAGGAATCTCTAGAACATATGCAAACACATGGAGACTGAACAACATACTCCTGAATGAACAGTGGATCATAGAAGAAATCAAAAGAGAAATCAAAAAATTTCTGGAAGCAAATGAAGATAACAACACAATATATCAAAACTTATGGGATACAGCAAAAGCAGTGTTAAGATGAAAGTTTATAGCAATAGGTGCCTACATTAAGAAACTGGAAAGGCACCAAATAAATGAACTATTTATGTACCTCAAGGATTTAGAAAAAAACAACAAAACAAACCAAAAACTAGTAGAAGAAAATAAATAATTAAAATTAGTGAAAAAATCAACAAAATTAAATCCAAAAAAACATTACAAAAGATCAGCAAAATGAAAAAAATAAAGAAAATTGACACACCATTGGCCCAACTAACCAAAAAAGGAGAGAGAAGACACAAAGCAATAAAAGTAGAGATGAAAAAGGAAATGTAACAACAGACACCACAGAAATAAAGGGAGTCATCAGAAATTACTACAAAGAGTTGTATGCCAACAAACTGGGACACATAGAAGAAATGGATAAATTCCTGGACCCATACAACCTACTTAAATTGAACTATGAAGACACAGAAAATATAAACAGACCCATAACCAAGACAGAAATTTAATCAGTAATAACATCCCTCCCAACAAAGAAAAGCCAAGGACTGGATAAATTCGCTGCTTAATTCTATGAGAGA